TTGCGTGTTGGTTCTTATCGGAGAAAAACTGTAAAATATAGTGTATTTTCGCTTTTGACACACGCTAAAATATTGTGACCACTGAAACATTCCCAAAACTGCCAGAAATTATTTAGTACGAAATGTCATCTTTAACGCCATATAGCAAAAACTGAGCGGCCTTATACAACGCGCGATACAAATAAATAATGCATCTATTGGAAATATAATTGATTACTTTTTATTATACCTAATATGAATAAGCGGCCACGGCAGCCGAGTGGTCAGCATTGCGTACTGCCATTCAGAAGACGCGGATTCAAGTCCTGGTATCGTACTAACATCCAGAAAGCTATAGAAAATTAATTTAAATAAAAAAATAAGTTAAATTTTCCAATTGCGGTCGCCCCTCGGCACAGAATGTCAGCTCCAGCGGAAATAAGGCGGCGATTATATATATGCATTGTATATATAATTTTTAATGAACTTTAATCAATCTTTCCGGCAACATCATTACTCCACGATTTTATAGCCTTTTAATGATTTCTACAAAGATCGAAACATGTGGTAGCCTGCCGGTGCAATGTCAGGGCTATTTGATAGATGGATCAACAGTTCCCAGCCATATTACGCCAAACAAACAAATATAAAGAAACTTAAATAGCATAAGTTGATCCAATTGGGTTATATGGTCCACAAATGATTGCAAGGTGTTGCATTTTATTGTAGTATTCACAAGTGTATTAGTACTCTGCACCACGGCTGCGGAGTTGAAGCTCAAATAATTTTTGGAGGAACTCTTACCTCAGCGCATCACAACGTCTGTTGCCTACAAACAGAGCTATTTCGTTGACAGAAATTTTCTAGTTTGAATTGCCAAAACTAGTCAGCTGAAAAGCGGCTTTAGGTATTTTGTATCGAATTTCATCCTCATCATTGAATTTTAATTCCTTTTCGCACGTGAAACCGATTAAAAAAATTTATGGTCTCTCATATTTTTCATGAGAGCTCCCAATGAAATATTATATAATATTTAAAATAAAATTTGAGAAATATAAGAACCAATTTAATGGACTTAAATACTTACATACATAAGCATATCTATAATTCATACGATATCAAATTTCGTTGTAACAACAATGAAATAAAATTGTGCTGATCTCATTTTAAAAATTGGTCGGCAAAGAGAAGCTCAATCAGTAAGTTACAAATAGTGTGCTAAATGTAATATAGTAAACAAATTTAATAAATACATACATATGTACGTACGGCCCTTCCATAATAAATGTTAACAAAAAGTCTGCGCGATGGTTTGTAATTGGGCTGAAATTTTGCACATTGTTTAACTTCATGCTAAAATTGTAAGAAATTGAATTGAAATGTATTTTCTAAGAAATTATGGGCGTGGGTAAATCGAATAAATCGACGGCATGTGCCAGTAAAGCTCTTCATATTTTTCAAATATTTCACTTGCGTTAGCTACAGATATGTATTTATATGAACTTAAGTGTTAGTCCAAATGCAAAATACGCCAAAATGTGTCGTAAGAAAGTTGCAGCTCCTGAGAACGTTGAGAAATAGACACACTCGGGTCTTCGACTACCCTTTCACAACATATGGTGCACATAATCGTCCAACTACTCAAGCAATTGGTCCAATGTGATAGACCAACGTTTTGCTCGTTCCGCATAACATAGCGCTCCTGTAAATGAGTATAGTTGAAGACCCGATTGTGTCTATATCTCGATGTTCTCAAGCGTACTTTGCAATGGTACTTACTCCCATACTTACTTGCTTACTTTACTGGCGTAGGCATCGCTTACGCGATTACAGATGATTTAACAACATTGCGCTATTCGTTTCTTCGTTTTGCTGTTTGGCGCCAATTGGAAATACCAAGTAGAGCCAGGTCCTTCTCAACCTAGTACTGCATCAAAAACTTTCAATGCAGGAGTATTCGCATCCATACGGACTACATGACCTAGCCAGCGTAGCCGCTGCTTCTTGTTTCGCTGAACTATGCCAATGTCGCCGTATAACTCTTACAGCTCATCATTTCATCGTCTGCGATGGTCGCCGTTGCCAACTCGCAAAGGACCATAAATCTTACTCAAAACCTTTCTCTTGAAATCTCCAAACTATGAACGGGAACGATGAAGGACTTGTAGAGTTTGTTTTCGTTCGTTGGGAGAAGAGAGGACTTCAGAACAAGAAGGATTCTGCGTTGGATTTCAAGGCTAACGTTATAATTTGTGTTATTGCTGGTTCCTATATAGGCGAAATTATCTACGACTTCAAAATTATGACTTTCAAGAATGACGTAGGAGCCAAGTTGCGAATGCGATGACTGTTTGTTTGATGACAGGAGATATTTCGTCTTGTCCTCATTCACTACCAGACCCATTCGCATCGCTTCTTTTTCAAGCCTGGAGGATGCAGAACTAACGAAGCGGTTGTTGAGGCTGATAGTGTAAATATCATCGGCGTATGCCAGTAGTTGTACACTCATAAAGAAGATTGTACCTTCTATCTTTAGCTCTGCAGCTCTTATTATTCTCTTCAGATTCAACCTGTCTGAAACCTCGTTTGGTATCGAACGGCTCGGAGAGGTCCCTCCCAATTCTGACTGCGCTTCTGGTGATGTATAGCGTCAGCTTACATAGCCATATAAGTTTGGCGGGGATACCAAATTCAGGCCTAGCAGTGTAAATGCAGCGCCTAGCGTGTCGAAGGCGGCTTTAAAATGGACGAAAAGGTGGTGGGCGTCGATCCTCTTTTCACTGGTATTTTCCAAAATTTGTCGCATGGTAAATATCTGGTCAATGGTTGACTTACCAGGTCTGGAGCCACACTAATAAAATCCAACCAGTTTGTTGACGGTGGGCTTCAGTCTTTTACACAATATGCTCGACAGGACGTTATAGGCGATATTAAGGAGGCTTATCCCACCGTAATTGTCGCAGACTGTGGGGTCTCCTTTATCAAGGATTGGACAGGCATTGGACACTTAAATTCCAATCGTCGGCATGCTTTCGTCCGACCATATTCTGCAAAGTAGCTGATGCATGCACCTTGTCTGCTCTTCACCGCCGTGTGTGAATAGTTCTGCCGGTAGGCCGTCAGCTCCAGCCGCTCTATTATTTTTTAAGCGGGCGAATGCTATTCGAACTTCTTCATGGTCAGATAATCGAATATCTTTTTCATCTTTTTAGTTACTTAAGCAAGTTTTTTTAACTTTGCTGCAGGATCCTCAAAGAATTAAAGATAGCCATAAAAATAAGAAAGAACTGACTGCCTGGTGCTCTCTGTGGCTCGGACTTGTGAATTCTTTGAAAACGACAAAGGCGAGATTGTCACTGTTCATTCGAAGCGTTATCGTCGTTTGATAATCGATTATAATCTCTCGTCTTGTCGATCCCAATTGGCCACTGAAATCGGGTCAATGGTGTACTCTTCTACTCTACTACACTCTATGAGGCTTCGCGAAAGAATTATTTTAAAGGCATTTTATTGACGTTTATTTTTGAAACCGCTAAACTGATAGCCCTCTATATATTGCGATATATTATTATTGTACAGTATTGACATTATATACATATATAATCAAGTGGACCGATCTCTATGTTTTTCAATCGTCATATTTTAGCTATGGATTGTATGGAAGTTGCATTTTTTACCGCATAGTAAAAATGAATAGTTCTATTTTGTATTTTAGTTCAATATATTTAAAAAGTGGTGTTGAGCTTTTCGGCCGTTAATTAAATGTAAAAACCTTTACTTTCCTTTTTTGTCCCCTTCGTGTTTCGATACAATTTTGTATCTTCCTCAGGGAGTCTAACTTATTTTAAACAAGAAAACATTATTTACAAACATTATACATACATACAAACATCTTTTTCAACTGTACCTTACCACAATTATATTCAAATGAATAACAAATAATGGAAATGGTCCTTGCATCTTGACTGATCAGTTGAAGTGCAAAAAATACAATGCTACATATCATCTATTAATTTTATCATTCGTTGTGATCGTTGTGTACACGCATTTAATGTTGTCTACATCTTCTTTGTAATTCATCGCACACTCTAATGTCATTATTTTTCTTGTTTATTTCTCTATATCAATTATTTTCGAATTGTCGGAGTGTGGTTAATAGTATTGAAAGATATACCGCTTTGCTAGCTTTTATTCAACTGGCACCTTGATCATATCAGTATAAATTTCGGTCAAAAAGTTAAAATTTCATAATATATATATATAAGTAATTTCAATCGACATTACTAATATGTAATGAAAAGAATTACGTGTACTTGAAGTAAGGGATAACTATGCAAAAAGCTCAGTTTGCACTTCAAATAGAAATTACGAATAAAAAAATAACATTACAAATTTTATAGCAAAGGTGTCCGTACATTAAAATTACATAGAATTGTACTTGGGGGATATTTAAAAAAAAATATGTAGTATACATATCTATGTACGTAAATGTATGTACATTGCATGTACATTTATACATTCTGATCGTTGTGTATGCACATATGTACCTTCATCTAATTTTGTCTTCCTATACACATACATATGTGTATATGCATACACATGTACAATATATATGTAAATATATACGTCAAAACGAAACTAATTGAATTTAATTTTAAATATGAAGCAAAGGAGTCCAATGACTTTAGGTTTCTGAACAAAAATATATATAGACATACGTAAATGCATATATGTAAATATAATATTAAATTCGCAATTGTTCTTGCACGCTGATCAATTATGAAATTCAGTTCATTGTCGCCGTAAAACGCAACCGAAGATTTAATATTGCTGGCTAAACAGAATACAATTTTTACTAAATTTCCGGCAAAAATCATGGCAAACTGATTTTTACTTCCTCTTTTATTTTCTGTTCTACTTACGTTAACAATATTTGGCTTAACTGTTGTTGGTCACTAAAAAAAAAGCTTACTTGCTTTCGCAATTTTGAATGCATTTCGTTTTCATTTCGTATAAAAACGGCGGCAAATGTGGAAATCGTCAACAGTCAAACGGTTCTTTCATACGTTGGAAATCAAGTCAAGAGCAGAGTAGAAAATGAATGCATTCATCACAATTGCATTACTTGCTGCTATCGCCACTAGTGCGGTGGAAAGCTCAATGAGTGATAGCTCCAAGCAGATGGTATCTTCATCGTACGGTGGTGGCTACGGTAGTGGCTCGTCTTCATCGTCCTACTCAGCACCCGCAGCGCCCGCTCCAGCACCATCTTATGGCGGTTCTTCCTCATCATACTCAGCACCAGCAGCACCCGCTCCAGCACCATCATATGGCGGTTCTTCCTCATCATACTCAGCACCGGCTGCACCCGCTCCAGCACCATCATATGGCAGCGCTGCCCCATCGTACTCTGCACCAGCAGCTCCTGCACCATCTTACGCCGCCCCAGCTCCAGCAGCGTATGCTCCACCAGCACCAGCAGCTACATCATCGTATACCGCACCACCATGCCCCAAAAACTACCTCTTCAGTTGTCAGCCCTCTTTGTCACCAGTAGCCTGCAGTGCGCCGAGTAGCAGCGGCGGTTATGGATCATCAGCCGCTTACTCCCAATATGTGCCATCGTACGTACTACCCCCTCTTGGATATGGTTTTTAAGCCATCGAACTAGATGATGAGATTATATGCAATTTATTAGGATTTCGCTTGTGCACCAATCATATATTCTATTAACTAACTATTTAAATAAATACAATAACTTTTTCAATATAAATACGAGTACATATTATTTTTTTTATTTGCCGACCATAGACCAGCTTCAAAGACGTACTCACGCCCAACCTATACAAAACAATATGCAGCTCCATCGAGGTCAACATGTGTGACATATTTGGGATCACCCCATAGCTGGTAATTCGGAAAACGTAGATGACAACAACAAGAGACGGTACAACTAATTAATTAAAACTTATCTAAAACAAAAATTATAACAATTTTTGAAAATGAAAGTACATCCTGCTAAGATTTTTGGTTTTTTTATTTTAATTCTTAGATGCAAGCCTGCATAGTCATGTGTTAAGGTACCGCCGAAGACAAGTCGTAGAATAAAAACTTTCACGGAAATTGAATTTTAGTATCTGGAAATTAGATTAAACGGCAATTGTATGAAACTAAATTTATAGTTGGTCACGCGGTGTAACTTTTATTTCATCTTAATTTTTGTTCTCCTTCGGGTGTGCTGCAATGCAATGCAAACAAATATCTGTACCCTGTGAACATTTGTGGACCATGTGGACGCACTCGTCTGTACAGAAAAAAAGAAACTACGACTGGTTCGTTTCGCTAAAGAGCTCTGCTGATATATATTTAAAAGTTTGGACTAATATACTTCAATGCAATAAATTACATTTAAAATTAGGGAACGTCAAGCCTTTCGAGTGTAATAGCCTATTTCCACCAAGCACTTAAATGCATTTAAGGCCTCTGTTAAGTGAATGAAATGTCAAACGATTTCACCGAAAGTGAGTTAACTCAATCAGCTGATTTTTGTTTACATTTGCAGTTTGCTAAATTTGTCACAATTATTGAAATCATGAATTCAAGAGACCGCATTCATTTTATTTGGCTATTTATGCAATCTTATGATTTGCAAGTTCAGATTATTTCTGCACGGGCAAACGTTGCTGAAACGAAAATCTTTTTATGCATGTTTCCATTTTCATATTTGCTTGTTTGTTTCTTCAAATTATTTATTTTGCGCAATCAGCTGATAGCTGCCAGAGCCACGTATATTTTTATGTTGAAGGGATCGTTTGATATTTCACAATTGCTTTTTGTTTTTTTCTTATAGTTTTTTTTTTGAAGGAGGAGAAGCATTTTCTTCGCCAATAATTATAACTAATGCAAAAAAGTAATTTTTACACAAACAATTTCACCATGCAAAATAAATGTCTACATATGTACATTTGTGGTTTGTTTATTGTCCGTGTGAAGCATGTATTTCACTAATTCACGCGTGGATGTGGTTCTCACATAATTTGTATGGTAGTACTAGGACGCGTAAGCCCATACAATGCAACTGCCAATATTTCCTAGGGATTTTTTGGTCATTGTTAGAACTGTAGATTTGTTCAACTTGATTTCATACCTTTTGAAAACCTGCTTTATTGGGGCGAAATTTTTTTAAATCTAATGTCATCCATCCATCTTTAACTCATCGTACTCCCAAAAATTGTCAATACGATTTTTAATAAGGTCATAAATGAATGATGGATATATTTTATAAATATGTTTAATGCAAAACCAATTTAATCCAAACACCAATTAGCTGTTAGGGTACCAAGGAAAGCTGAAGGGGGGCAGCCTAGATGCCCAAAATTTTCAATTCGACAGCAGTGCCCTGAGCGCCATATCACTTTTTTAAACTGGCCGAAGACATAACTCGAACAAATCTTCACGGTTTCTTACAAAATTTTGACAGTACATTTAAAATATTCATTCTCAAGAGACGTACGTATGTTTTTTTTATTATATTACATTTTTTTAAATCAACAATTTTAGGCCGTTTTATAACTTTTTGTTCAATCGTGCATCTTTTCAGACCTCTGATGATGAGATGTTTTGGTTTTCGAATTAGCAGCTATAACCTCTACCATTCAAAACTGTTGTTGTAATTTTTTCACTATTTCAAAACAATATTCGTTCATACACGTAGGACGTCCAGAAACAAGTTATCGCGCTGAACTGGTGGAAAAGTCCGTGAAATCATTAGTATCGATGCAAATTTTACTACGAGAATGTTTGCTGAGGAATTGAATACGAGTAGAAACACTATTTGTAGAATTTTAACTGAAGATTTGAGGAAAAGAAAGGTTTGTCCGCGATTTGATCCAAATGAATTAATTAATCAAAAAAGGGATTTCTCTCATCGACCATCCTCCGTATTCGCCTGATCTATCACCATGTGACTATTTTTTATTTTCAAAACTGAAAACCAAGATGAAGAGAGCATTTTATGATGATATCCCAGCCATTCAAGCAGCCGCAACCGAGGTACTGAAGAACATTTCTATAAATGACATAAAAAAATCTCTGCAAGCGCTGGTTGATCGCTCCAAACGTTGAGTCAAATGGAAGCTATTTTGAATAATAAATAACTTTCAAAGATAATATAATGTGTATTTTATTTTTGGGACACACCGTGTACATACGTGAACGCATTTTTATTTGCACCATTCAGTAAAAAAAATATAAAAATCGTTCAAATTTTAATTAATTAAACATAGGAGGATTAGCAAAGCTTTACAGATTTGACAAAAATGCAAATCATTTAATAATTGTTCTTGCTAATTTCAAAGGGCGTGGCGACGGTCGTTTTTTGAGGCAAGCGGCTCGCTTAGTGAGGTTATGCGCTGGATGAAAAGTTGTACAACGGCTGGCATGAGAGAGACTCTATACCCTGGACTGCTGTTTGCCAGTAAAGACTCTACTAAAGTTGCTAGACGGACCATTTTTGAATTTGCTTAGGAAAAATTAAGCAAAATGCAGTCGAGCCTCTTTGGGCCTCATTTAAAATTCGTTGTACACATCGAGCAGATTTGTTCGTGCCTGCTGTTACCTCTAATACTGGTTCATTCCATAATATAATTCTTTTTGATACACATTCCATTAGTGGAAATTAACAATATCTACTAAAATTCCTAATTTGACCAAAATTTAAACAATAATGAATGAACGCATCAAAAAAATAAATTTTCCTGCATTCGGTGGTGATAAAATAAACATAGTATTTTTTTAGGTATATTCTTATCAATTACATTATATAAATTTTTTAAAAATGATTGTATTTCTTTTTCGTTATTAGAAAATTGAAATTTTAATAATTCATTTAAACATTAATTGAATCATTATCACTATAATAATAATCATATAAATTATTTATAGGAGCATTGAATATTAAATTTTGTGGTTCTATTGATTTAAGATACAAAAGTATTTCCTGATATGATAAATTATGAATATAATTATTAATTATTTTAATGGAATTTTTTATTAAAATACTGTTGGTATCCCAAAATTTAAAATTTGATGATAACCATATCGAAGTTGTTATTTTATAAAATCAATTATTTGTTCTCCACCGGTGACCGGGTCAAAAAATTCGAATGATAGTTCACTTCCTTCCAACACTCGGTGTTCGGCTTCTTCGATATCCTTGAAAAATCGTAGATGTCAAATTTTACTACTTGGTTCTCCCGGAGATGTTATAGTTCATGAGCTTCCGTGTACTCTTTAGCAGATAGATTGTAAGATTAATCCAGTGTTCGATCGAGAACTTCCAACTTGGAAACACTCGTGGAACAAATCTTCTACCGATCTGTCCTTGTAGGAGTATGTTGAAGGAACATCTACAAGAATTATTGCTGTAGGTGCAATCATGCACGACATGAATGTGGTTGCAATGTTGCGAAATGATGAGGACGGTCCCTGCAAAGTTTAAACAAATTAATAATGTATATTTATTTATTACCTAAAAAATATATATTTCGAAAATTATTAATATTACCTGAACATTTTTTGCATAATTCCATAAACGTCATGCACCACTCACTGTCGCAAATTATGGTTACCAAATTCTTTAAGGAATACAGTCCTAATTCTGTCCTCTGAGTTGTTAGGACTTTCAAACAATATTGAAGTCAATGCATCAACGTATGTAGATGGCTCTTGTTTTTCCTTTAAGGAGAGAGAGATCAAAATCTCTAACGCCCCAGTTATATGCAGGAGAAACTCTTTCGTCCATATTATCAAAAGTAGAGATAATAGAGCCATATGAGTATCCTTCTCGGAAAGAATATTCGCTTTCTTCATTATTTCCTCTATATTCATTGTCTTCTTTTTCATAACCGGCCCGTTCGAATCCAGAAGCTTCCTTTTCTTCCTCTGTTGCTTCTCTTTGGTCACCGCTATCTCCACTGTCTGTGTATTCGCTAGTGGAGTCTGCTCTGAATCTTTTAAAATATTCTGAGCATTTTGATGCAAACAGTCTTATTTTTCGCTCTTAACAGGAGAAATGCCGTCTACGATCGCCGGTTCTCTGAGAATTGATACTTTTTTTGATGCCATTATTTTCTTCACTACTATCACTATGACTATAACAATAAGACCACTGACTTGATGATGATTCCTTATTGCTGCTACTAGAAATAGTACTTTGCGACTTATTTGATTCACTATTTAAAAACATTTAAACTTTGTAAGAAAATGTATCTGTATTTATATAAAAATTCTATAATGTGTTAGATAAGTTAAATTTGCACTGATAAATGTTATATTTGCACGGGGTAAAACTTATAACATATTGCCGACGACGACGACGACGGCAGCGATCTGGAGCGCCGCATTTTTCTATCGGCACGCTATCGGCCGCAGGCCATGATTGAGCTTAAGCCATGACACTCGCGATACTCTCATGACATTCAAGCCCGATTCAGAGCTACAGTGATGTCATTTGTGGAAGATTATGGTCGATTATGGTAGACCGAACTCTTATTAATCCCCTCGAGAATAATTATATCCCGCATGAGTATTTCGTAACTTTTGGTCTTTTGGCACAATGTAAGAGCTGTATTTACACTGGCAATCCTGTTTTTTTTTATAAGCCCTTATTTCATATCGTAAGTGTGAAATGTCATTCGTTTCGCTGGTTGTTGATTTTGTCTTGGCATTGCTTATTCTGAATTATTATTTTCCTCGTTGGTGTTGTTATTTCGTTGCGTGTTGTCGATCGTGTATTTGTTAAATTGGTTTTTAATTTTTCGTATTTATTATTTTATTATTATTTTTACTATTTTGTTGGTCCCAAGTTAATTTATTTTTCGCTCTTTGTGTTTCACCCTGGTACATGCACTGCTGGACTCGAATGTCTGTATGTATTTCTCGCCAATTGATTTTTTCGAGATAGAACGTAAATAGTTTTAATTTTTTTGTACTTCCTCAACATTAATGCACGTGTAGAACCTAAGATTTTTTTCTTATATTCATATTTACACATCTATTCATAGATTAACATTATGCATGCATGTATTTTCAGTAACGATTTAAGTATTTTTCATTTTCTAACAAAAGC